AGCGAGCACACATCCTTGTTTGACACCGCACAGGATCGGGAACTTTCCAGATTTGGAGCCATTGAATTGAACTGTGGCTTGCATGTCGTCGTGGAAAGCTACGAGGATGGACAGTAGTGTGTCTGGACAGCCCAGGCGCTTCAAGATGGAGAACAGGCCTGAGCGACTTACAGAGTCAAAAGCCTTCGTCAGGTCGATAAATACGACGTAGAGCTGGCGTAGTTGCTCAATGCACTTCTCCTGTAGCTGTCTAAGGGAGAAAACCATATCGGCAGTTGAGCGGGAGGCACGAAACCCACACTGGCTCTCTGGGAGGACTCTATCACCGATGACCTGTAACCTGGGAAGTAGTACACGGGCGAGAACCTTGCCGGCTATGCTAAAAAAAGAAATGCCTCTGTAGTTGTTACAATCTTGTCTGCTACCTTTGTTTTTGAAGTGAGTAATGATATTTGCATCCTTTAGGTCTTGTGGTAGACAGCGTGCGTGCCAGCAGAGTTGGAATACGTTAAGAAGCTCAGTTGACAGGGCAGCACCACCGCACTTCATGACTTCAGGAGGAATGCCGTCTGCACCAGGGAACTTGTTGTTTTTAAGACCACTGATTGCACGTTTTACTCCAAACAAGGTGATGGCACAGTCAAGCTCATGCAGGACGGAAAGTTGTGGCAGAAAGGCTAATGCATCGGAGCACACTTCTACATCGCTAGCGAAGAGAGAGCTGTAGTGCTCTGCCCAGCGGTCAAGCTGTGCTGATGGATCAGTAATAGCTATGCCAGAAGCTGACAGCAGTGGAGCACTCTTCTTTGGGGTAGGACCGATGGCCTCTTTAATACCATTGTACAGGCCACGAAGATCCCCAGAGTCAGCGCAGTGTTGGATGCAGGCACTGAGACCAGACCAGTAACGGCAGAGGGCGGTACGGACAAGGCGTTGAACGTTACTCTTTGCAGCACGGAGCACAGACGCCGAAGAGCGGGTACGAATTACGGTGGCTTTGATTCTGGCAGTTTGTTTGGCCTCTATAGCCGGGAGCAGGATGTCAGCACTATCACGGAACCAGTCGGGTTGTGATCGAGTACGTCGACCAAAGGCGGTAGGAGCGCAGTCCGTGACTGAAGACTTGAATCTAGACCATGCGGGACCAGACTTCTCAGGCGTGGGAGATGAGCCAAAACGATCGGTAAGGAGCTCACGAAACTTAGTGACGCGGTTGATGTCAAGGGTAGCAGAGGTGTTAACTGCAGGGATTGGCTTCGGCTGAGCTGTGTGAAATTGTTTGGGATGCATTCTGAGCTTGCTACGGACAAGGGCATGGTCAGTGTTACAGTCTGCTGAGTGCATGCTACGACATTGTTTGACACCGCACAGCTGTCGTTTCCTGATGATAATGTGGTCGAGTTGGTGCCATCGGTGTGAGCGTGGATGCATCCAGGTGGCCTTGGAGCAAGGAGAGCCTGCGAAAAAAGTGCTGGTGAGACACAAATCGTGGTCAGCACAGCACTCGAGAAGGCGCTGCCCGTTGTCATTCATTTTGCCCACACCGTGGGGGCCAATTACACCACTCCATGACCTGTAATCAGATCCGCTGCGTGCATTGAAGTCTCCGGCAAGCACAATGTTATCCCCAGCTGGAATGCTGAGCAAAGTATTGTCGAGGAGTTGGTAGAATTCATCCTTCTCCTCAGAAGTAGCCATCAGAGTAGGAGCGTATGCCGAGATGACAGTGACCAGACCACTCCTAAGGCTAATTCGCATGGACATGAGACGGGGTGAGTGGGAGACAGTTTGTTCGATACATGGGGGAAGCGAGTTCTGAATTGCCAGGCCAACTCCATGCATAGGTCTTGCAGTGTCGGGGTGACCGGACCAAAAGAATGAGAAGCTAGCCTCGCGGACTGAGCCACTACTGGTAAGTCAGGTCTCGCCGAGAGCACACACATTTATGCCCAAGCGAGTAAGTTCAAGATCAATTATCGCAGACTTTCTTGGTGAAGAAGATTGGCGATGAGTGTGTATAGTCAAGGAGCGAACATTCCAACAAGCTAACACGAGAGAGGCAGTAGCAGGATGACGACCCGGACGCGCCTGCCTGGAACGCAGTCCTTGCCGGGCAACGGAAGTCCCCAAAAAGGGTGGCCCCCGACTGGCCGGACGCTTATTCTGATCAAGTCGTACAGTCATGATTGTTGGACGCCGAGCGCCGAGGCAAACGTTGATTGGGAGTGAATGCTTGCCCAGGACAGACACTCTCCTCTGGACCTTGCATTCATCTGGGCCAGCGGAACGCATAGCGTGACGGCTGGGATGAAGAAAGGTTGCCCCGCAGTGACGTACTATACGCCTGATGACCAACAACCGTTGACTCAGAAGTGAGTTCCTCCGCTTGATGGTCAAGCTGACATGTGTACTGGAGGGGAAAGTCCCTCACCTGCAGGAGTCCACCATGCAGGTTCACTCATGTAGTTTGGCTGACCAGCCGAGGTCAGGAGCCAGGGTGTGGCCACTGCTGTCAAGCAATTCCGTGGAGCCATACATGAGCTAGGGTGAACTAGTGGAACCAGAGGTTAGAGCCCCCATAAACATAGGGCGGCTGCTCATTGCCAAAGGTGCTATCCATCCAGATCACCCCTACACCCCCAAACATAAAATGTACATGCCCTATATATGGACATATGTGCATGTATATGTATACATGTACATGTACATCTATACAAGTACATGTACAATAATACATGTACGTGTACAATAATACATACTGTACATGTACAATAATACATACTGTACATGTACATACATGTCAACCGAAGTTCGTGGATTTTTCATTTTTGTCCGATCACACCCCTGCACATCTCGGCATTGGTACCTATGAAGTTACAGTCCAATCAGACCTATGGTTCTGTAGATATAGGCCTTAGAAAAATAACCCTTTCAATGTGACATCACAATACATGTGATGACGTCATGATGACTTCACTTAAATTTTCAAACTAATCCCTGTGTACATGTATGTGCATACCAAGTCTCAACCCAATCGGACTTGTACTTCAGAAGTTATAGCGACTTGAAAAATGCACATGTACTATGATATCACGTGACAAATATGATGACGTCATCGTTACAAAAATCATCGAAACTATCTTCGGCTGCTGGTCTAAGTGTCTGCCAAGTGTAAAGTACGTCAATCAGACGTACATGTACCGTACCCCGGTATGAAAGTGCCAAAGTGTAACGTTTGAAGAAAAACATATACAAAACCTAAGGGGAAAAAATGCATCTGTAATCTGAAGTGTCCTGACACCTAATGATGTCACGATCACGAATTTCTTCTAGGACCATCTGTGGGTGATAGTCTAAATGTGTACCAAGTCTAACGTTGATCGGATTTACGAAAGTGCCAAAGTAGAGTGTTTTAAAACGTGTACAAACCCTATGGGGAAAAATGTATCTTTAATGTGACGTAACCCAACACCTGATGACGTTACTATCACGACTTTCTTCTTGGACCATCTGTGGGTGGTGATCTAAGTATGGTACCAGGTCTGAAGTCGATCAGATTTACGAAAGTGCCCAAAGTGAGGTGTTTTAAAACGTGTACAAACCCTATGGGGAAAAATGCATCTTTAATATGACGTAACCTGACACCTGATGACATCACGATTGCGAAGTTCTTCTAGGACCATCTGTGGGTGGTGATTTAAGTATGTATTAAGTCTGAAGTGGATCAGATGTACGAAAGTGCCCAAAGTGAGGTGTTTTAATTAAAACGTGTAAAAACCCTATGGGAAAAATTGCATCTTTAATATGACATAATCTGACACCTGATGACGTCACGATCACGAATTTCTTTTAGGACCATCTGTGGGTGGTAGTCTACATGTAAGTACATGTATGTACCAAGTCTTAAGTCGATCGGATTTGAAAAAGTGCCAAAGTGGACTGGTGGAAGAAACATGTACAAAACCTATGGAGAAAAAGTCTGAAAAAGGAAAAGAAAAAAAAAGAAAAAAAAAATCTTAACGAAAACAAGAGCTGTTTCGGTGTGTGCACCGAAACAGCTAAAAAAATATTGTTTCTTTTTTTCTTTTTCGGGCAATTCTTTTGGTTTCATTTAGGCAATCTCATTTCAATTGCCATTTTTTAAAAATGTGTATGCAAAAAAATCTAAGCAGAGATTGATGTGTTAAAATTTGTAATTTTTTTTTTTTTTTCCAGGCAAATTTGTTTGTTTCATATGGCAATCGCTTTCAATTTCCATAATTGCTTAAAAAAAAAAAAAAAAGAGAGACAACAGTTAAAAAAAAACCTTTTCTAAATAAAAATCTAAAACAAACAAAAAGTGGACATTTGGAAGTTTAGTTACATGTCAGTAAAATGTTGAGGATTAGGAACTTGTTTTAAAGTTGTACTCTGAACCAGCTTTAGTTGATCTCCTTTATCAAGTGGATAAGTGTTTGGCTTAAAAGGGGAGATGTAATGAATGTGTGCATTCATGATTTAAAGGGAATGTACATCATTGGCTTTTGTTGTAATTTTCAGAAATGAACTATTTGAGGGGTTAGTACAATAGATCAAATATTGTTACACTGACATTTTTGAAGTTTTGTATTCGAAAAGGTTGGAAAAACCAAGAAAAACAGAAATGTTCAAGTAGTCTGGTTCCCTGACTCCACAAAAGATAAAATGGATCAATTTATAGATGATGGAAAATTGTAAGGCAAGGGAACCAGTCTAGCTGGCCTGCACCCGTTCATAAACATGTAACCAATAGCAAACAAAATTTGGACTGAAAAAATGGTAAATTTGGAGCAGTAGTTGAAAAATAGTTAGGTTTTTCCAACGCTGGACGGCCGACCAGCATTGGAAATGTATACAAAAATACCATTTTCTTGAAAAAGACTTCACACCAGGTGCCATAATTTTACAAGATGCATGAGACTGTCATGTACCAACATCCTAGTAAGGTATTTCGTAAAAACTTTGTAGTTTTATTTTTCGATGTTTGCAAATGTTGTATATTCCCTTTAACCACATAGCGCCCTCTATTGTCTAGAGCACATAACCATGTGAGTTTTGAGTGCATGTAGGCAGCCATCTTGTTAGACACAATACACTATTCTTAGCTAGCTGAAACATCTCAAGTGTGCTTTTTATTCAGTCCGATTCATCTGATCATTACAGACATGGAGAGGAGGCCAAGGAACCAACCTGCTTTGGTCGTGTTTAATTTTAGCCGTACGCGGCAGCTATGACCACAGATTTCTCAGAATAGTTAGAAATGTTAGGTCTAGAAACCAGACTTTTGCAATGGGAGCTGTCATTGTCTGCGTATTATGTCTATTCTTCACTATGGAGCTCTCACAAATGGTATACGAAGCAGCATCTACTTTTAAAGAGGTTAGGAATGCTCGAAGACATTTCCTTCATTTTTCGGCATATGTAGTGATGAAATAAAAACGACTATTGTGTCTGTCATGAAATTAGTACAAAAGGTACTTTTGAGAGCTGTTTTTCAGGTCCTGTTTCGACCCGAATGTGCAATTTGTGTAAAAGTCGTCGTTGGGGGCAGCAAACAAAACATAGTAAATTGTGACGTAATAAACAGGACTCCAGATGCAGCGTAGTCCTGTTTATTACGTCACGATTTACTATGTTTTGTTTGCTGCCCCCAACGACGACTTTTTTACAAATTGCACGTTCGGGTCGAAACAGGACCTGAAAAACAGCTCTCAAAAGTACCTTTTGTACTCATTTCATGACAGACACAATAGTCGTTTTTATTTCATCACACCTTAGGCTACATATACCCGAAAAATAACGGAAATGTCTTCGTGCATTCCACAACCTCTTTAAGGGAATAAATATGTCCTTGGGCAGCTTGGGGCCTGGACACTGATTCGGCTCAGGCCATTATTGGCAAACTGGCCCACATTATCAGCGACCAGGCTGATAAATAATATCAGGTTCTTATTTAAATATACCGGTTCTTATTTAACACTGTCCAGTGTCCAATCACACATATATAGTCCAATTCATAAATATTTAAAAGTCAGAAAGTCTAAACAAGTCAAAATTATAAATTTCCAACGATTTTGTTTACTTTATTATGATTTTACTTTATGTTGTTTCAATTTCACTTCATGTCTACTTACTTTTACTTATGGTATGTGCCTCTCGCGAGTAGGGCCTAATACCAAAAAATAATCTCCTTATGGGGAGATTGGCGCAGAGATTTTCCAAATGATTTAAGGACTATACAATATATGACTTAATATATGGAATCATGGATAGTGTTGTGCATTATAAAGCGAAGATTGTGAACGTTCAACCAACAAAAGGGTAAAAGGGACCAGATAGTCAGTAATCAAAATTTCATATGACACCGGAAAATGTTTAAAACCAGCCACTGGTGTTTCATAAACCATTTAAGGCAGCCACGTGACAAGCCCTCGACCAATAGGTATGGGTAAACTGTCTTTGGTATAATGAATGCCAAATAAATATGAGAGAATGTTGTGTGGGGACATATCTATATAATAACACTTTGGGCAGGGTCAAAATTTTAGCGGGTCATGAGCACAATGCCTGTAAAAGGAAACATTTGAAATGCAGTTGGTGAGAGATCCAGAATACCATTTAGGCCTATACCTTTGACATCCAACAAAGGGGTAGGTTGAATTAATAATACAAAATCCAATATTTAAACAACAAATGGGGATGCCTCATTGCCCAGTTCCTGGCATGGTCTCAAGTTATTAATTGGGACCACTCATGCTTGGGCGGAATGTAAAAGAGTGAAAAACCACTTAAAAAGAGTTGTCAGCCAGAAGGAACTTTCACTCTTTTGGAGCTTTTTTTTACTATGGGCCATTGTCAAAACCAGACTAAAAGATAAAAGCTTCACTCTTAAAGAGTGAAACAACCATTCTTTTAAAGAGCCATTATGGCGGACAACTCTGTTTGGGTTGTTTTCACTCTTTAACATTAATAAGAGAGAAGATTGTGTGGGGACGAAATTATGCGGTCGAGGCCAGCTAGGGCACATAATCCACACTGTCTGTTTTTGTTCCAGTAGTTACTAGTCAAATTTAACTTTTATTTTTCTTCATTTCTCCCCCTTCTTAATCTTCAATTTTCATTTATTTATTTTGTTTCCGCTACAGCATTTAATCTCCACGATGCCAAGGTCACACCTCTATCTGTGGAGTCCAATTATTTCCCCTGTCTTCAGTCATTAGGGGTACACAATGAGATTCAACAAGTACACTACTGGCAAAACAGCATCCTCTATTCCAAACCTCAGCAAAATAAAATGTGTTGCAGCGGAAACCGAATACTACTGGATCGACAATGTCAAGATAACAGCAAAAGTGGGTATCCACAAGTCAGTTATGTGCCACTACCAAGGTTTTCATCCACAAATGTTTTTGATGTAACTTCCATGGCGTTCACCGGGCAAGCAAGTATTCTAACTCAGAGTACAACAGGATCTAAAATAGACAGTAGTCTGAACCGTACACCCAATGACAACAACTTGCGTTTATGTGGCATTTCCAAATTTAAATGTCCTGAATGTATGAAACTGTTTGTTACCTCTGGGGGCCTAATGAAACACAGACAATTCCACAGTCAATCGGTCTCTGGCAGGAACTGTTTTAGCTGCAAACATTGTGATAAACAGTATATGTCTCTAGGGGCCCTGAAGATGCACATTCGCACTCATACATTGCCTTGCAAATGCAAGTACTGTGGCAAAAGTTTTTCACGACCTTGGTTACTGCAGGGCCATATCCGCACGCACACAGGAGAGAGGCCATTTTCGTGTGCACATTGTCGACGTTCTTTTGCTGATCGTTCAAATCTTCGTGCACACCTTCAAACACATTCTGAGGTGAAAAAGTACGGTTGCCAGAGGTGCGCTAAAACCTACTCAAGAATTTCTCTTTTAACAAGGCATGAGGTCACCGGTTGTTTTCCACAAGCAGTTGCTTCAAGTGAATAACAGCGAAAATTCTGCAAAGCTGTATGGAGCGAGTTCCCAATTAATAAATCAAAAAGTGCATTTAACAGTGATTATTCTTATATATTGTCTAACAATTAAGGTGATTTTGTTTTTTTATTATTACGTTTTTCCCAATTGTAAACTTGTATGTGTGTTCATCCATGGAGCAAGGAACAGAAGGAGATAGAACTCCCCTACTTCAAAGTGGTATATGATCGTCACCTCCCTCGAAAGCAACAACAGAAAGCACCTGGCAGCCAGCTTATTCAGTTGCTTTTCTACCCTATTGATATCCGTGCCCACTAATGCTAGAAGAAGGAGTTAGGCTTTGTGGATAGCACCATGGTAATGCCGGCGCAGTTGTCATACATTGCCGTAAATGAATGATTTTGAAAGCGTATGTTCGGAGTTGGCTAATACTGGCTCATAATGTGGTCAACATAACTGAACAAAATACTTATACTCTATACCGTCCGTTGGAAACCGTCGGAAATTTCCCAAATTGTCATTTCATAAATGATATATTGCCAATAAAAATTTTCGAAAGACATGATAACTTTTCGGAAAAAATATTCAATTTATCTTCAAATAACAGAAACAGATAGCGCTTTCAAGGTCCAATAAAACGCACATTGATTACTTGATTTCATAACTCACGTCTAACAACCGAACAGTTGTTAAAACCTATAAAAAAAAATTTAAAAAAAGAGAGCAACGATGTGACATGACGAGGGAGGTTGTTGGTTACCAGCTAAAAGGTGGTGATGATCATCGTGTTCAAAGGCCACTTGCATTCATGCAATGAATGGTCCAGGCTTGGGGTCACAGTTTTTTTTAGCTATGGACATCCTGAGGGATTGGAGTGTTAATGGTCAAAATGTAAAGTGCCCAAGAGTTCTAACTCCTTCTGTTCCTTGCTCCATGGTTCATCATTACTGATTTTTTAATGATACATTACTAGTCTCATGGCCATGGGGTTTCTTCGCTTGCAAGTTAAAGGGAAGTCTTGGCCCAAGACATCAGTGATCAATAGCCATGGTTGCATTGTAGAGTGCTGTTGCACAATGTGCGGTAGAAGTGTGACATTATGTCGGGTCGTCTCCAATGGTGACCATTCAACACAATGTCTCATCCACCATTTTAATTGTACTTTTTGAAGAAGCAGTTTAGGTGAACATTTTCTATTTGAGATTTCGCAGACGTTAAGAATAAATAAGACTGAAAAATGGGAGAGTGCTTCATAGATGACTGTAGTCATCACTCAGAATGTGATGGATGCCGGTAGTCGTGCATGTGGGGGTATCATTGCGTTGCATATCTAATTAGTGATGCTTGATCACAGCACGTAGCGCATATGTTTAAATTACATTCATCGAGCAATATATTCTTTAAAAAAAAAAAAAAAAGGCTCAGCACTCAGTGCTGAACATTCATTATTGCGCACGTGACTGATTATAAAACATAGATATGGAAACCATTTTGTAGTGGCTGATTGTTTCCTTAAGAAAGACTAGGGAGAAAATAAAGAAGTTGAACGGCTACAACAGGATTCCAAGGACGTCAGTGTGAGCAGGCGTGCTGGTCTAATATGCCGTTAGATATACACGATCTGATTGATCACTAGCGTCTTGGACAAAGACTAATTAAAGGGCCATGCAATGTCCTTTTTTTATGTAAATGCAATCCTTGAAATTGAACCTTATTCAAACGTTTTGCCATTTTCAAGGGTATTTTGTTGCCATTTTTGTTAATTTTCATGCTAATGCCAGGAATGTAACTGGGAATTTAGAAGAAGAAAAAAAACAAGGAAACTCCAATTCCAAACCACACAATAGTTGAGTATGTATGGGGGAACCCCCCCCCCCCCCCCCCCCCGAACTAACTTTCACCAATTTTTTTGGGTGCCTTTTAGGGTCCTTAAACACATTTTGGATGTTAACAGTAAAACAAATCCGATGCGAAGGAGATATCTAAGATGGTGGCCAATATGGCCGCCAAAATTGGTAAAAACTGGAAAAAAAGACATTTCTAAAAAAATATAAATGAAATGGTTAGGTTTATGTTTTAGACCCTCAAAAACTAATTTCTGGTATCCTTTTTTTTTTGCTATCATGCTTCAAATTCAAGATGGCGGCCAATTTGGTGGCCAATATGGCCGTCATATTGGTACAAAAAAATGAAAAAAGGCACATCTGCCTAATAGTATGATAAAATCATAAATGAAATATGATTTTGGCCTTCTCAAATTCATTTCATGCTTCAAATTCATGATGATGGCCAGGATGGTAGCCAATATGGCCGACAAAATGGTAAACAAAATAAAAAAAAGTCATATATCAGCCATAAAATTTAAAAAGTTAGTTATATGTTTTTTACCCTTGAAAAATCATTTCCGGTATCTATTTTCAATGCTATCATGCTTCAAATCCAATATGGCGGCCAATATGGCGGCCAATATGGCGGCCAATATGGCGGCCAATATGGCCAATCCAGGGTCTTTATTTTATTTCATGTGCGTAAAGTCACGTGACCCTTCCTTCCGGTTCAAACCGGAAGTGGCTTATAATTTAAAACTGGAAAAAAATGTGAACTTGCTTTCAATGCTGTTAGTCCGTGGTGAGGTTGTAGTTCACACAAAAATTACAGGTGACGTCATAAAATGTTAGAGCGCCCTCTAGCGGCAGGTTGAAAAATGAATTTTGAGTTGATGTCTGTGGCGGAGTTTGCGGTACTTGCTTCAAAATGAGGGTATATAATGACCTTAATGCAAACAACACCTGTGCGCGAAAAAAATGATGATGACATCAGACCGGAAGTTAGAATGAAAAAACCCTCTTTTTAATTGAAAACTCCTAAAACATCTACCCTTATAGTAATGTGGTGGTCTACCCTACTATAATTCTAGGGCTGGGGTCCGTCCATAATTAAACACGGATGAAAGCTGGACACCAATCAATCACTTCTCGATCACTACGGTTTACATATCAAATCCTTTATGGTCAAAAGGACCCCATGTAAACTGGCCAAAGCGCACAGCCAGATGACCTTGGATACATAGAGATAAGAGCTCCTGGGCTCTGTGTATATACAGTAGCGCTGCCTAGCACGTGTACAATAAACAGACCCTACGCGCTGAGCCATTGAGCAACGGCAAATTTTATTGGAGTTTAGATGTACAATTCTTTTAATAGTAAATGAATACACGCGAGCCTAAACCTTAAAGGGAAAATACAACATTTGCAAACATCAAAAAATAAAACCACCAAATCATTTTGAAATACCTTGCCGGACTGTTAGTGAATGACAGTGTAAAGCATCCTGTAAAATCATGGCACCTGGTTTACTGTCATTTTCAAGAAAAGTGGTACTTTTGTATCAATTTCCAACGCTGGTCGGCCGACCAGCATTGGAAAAAACTGGCTTTTTTTCAAACACTGGCCCCAATTGACCATCGCACTTGTTTGCAATCGATTACACACCTATGAACGGGTACAAGCCAGCTACACTGGTTCCCTGACCTTACAATTCCCCAATGTATGTAAACTGCTATGTTTCTTCTTATATGGAGTCAGGGAACCAGACTACAGGAAAATGATTGTTTTTCTTGGTTTTATAGCATTTTCGAACCCAAAACCTCAAAAAAGTCAGTGTAACTATATTTGCTATATATTTCCAACCCCCCAATTCCATCCATTTCGGAAAATTACAGCAAAAGCAAATGATGTATATTCCCTTTAACCAATCACAATAAGGGTTATATTGTTGAAAGGCTGACAAGATGAAGAAAAATGACTCGAGAGATCTAAGCTCCCAGGTGGCGCTATTTAATGTTATGATGATGTTAATGGACCAGTTCTTGGCTGAACGCGTGGTTTACACACAAAACAGGGAGATTTTTGACTGAAAATGCAATGTTTAACATCAATTCGCGAGTGAAACTCAGTGTTTTATTCAGTTTTTCTTTCATTTTCTGAAAGAGTATATTGTTAGGGTCACACTGTAGTGAGATCTAAGGTATACCCTGTTGAATAATGAAGTGGTGGCGACAGATGTGAAAAAAGGCCCGTTTTTAATGATTTTTTCACCGTGTTCTCTCAGACTCATAGAGGTTGCACATAAAAACCGGCCCGGTGGGTTAGTTCCCCAAAGGAATTCATATGTTACGAATCTGATGCTTGGTCATATCATTGAGTTAGGAATAGAAAACCCAAAAAACAAAACCCTGAAACAAAAAATAAGTGGTGCCTATTTATTACATAATAATACACATAGTTTCTTAATCATATCTGGGTTCTAGACACACTTTTAGTTTAATAATTGTCTTCAAAAATAATAATAAATATATATAAAACCTTACCCCAGGGTCAGTCAATCCCAAATGTTAGGATGTCTCATGCATGTACATGGAGTGGTGTACATTCTGCACTGTGAAAAACACATAGAACTACATGTACAGTCGACTCTCGTTAGTACAAACTCTGTTAATACAAAATTCTGGTTATAACAAACATAAAGGCTTGGTCCCGAATGTGCATTTATGTGCACAATGAATGGGACAGATGTTCCTCTTAACACAAAATTCCGATATAACAAACAATTTGGCTAGGTCCGAACGAGTTTGTTATAACGAGACTCGACTGTACATGGTTAAACACATGTACATGTACGCAGAAAGCTTCATTTTGTACATCACGTGTCTGCAAACTTTACACAAATAAAGCGATTAAAGGAAGCTGTAAAGTGGATCTATGTTATCTTGGCTTAATAAATACTCACTTCCTGGAACTTTAATCCCCCAAAATTGTACTATTCTGTCTTATTTCAGGATGCAGGGTTGTCATTCCTGAGTTCCTGACATTGGTGTACGGTATGCACGTGTCCGAATTTCTCATCGTCCACTCTACGCAAAATTATTTCTCACTGAAGGGAAAGTCCCTCCGCACGCGATCGCGGTGCCATAGAGAAAAAGCTCTCACGACAAACACACCATACACAACGGCGGTGTCCTATATCGGGACTCCCACAGTAATATTCTTGAATTTTGCTTCAAAACACACTCTAAGGGTAGGTCTGAAACTTTCCTAGGTTTGGTGGCAAAAAGCGTACTTGCACAAGCCCTGCAGCACACTTAAAATTCAGGTTGACCACACCTCCGCTTTAAACATCGTATAGCACGTACACGTACAATGTACATTACGTCCCTTCATTCTCGCCAAAAGAGGGCGCTGCATAACTTTAACGGTTGTGTTTTTCGAACAACTGTTGTGCGTTGGTTCTCTCCTGTGCCACATGGGTTTTTCTCCGGGCCCTCCGGTTTTCCTCCCTCCGGAAAAATCAAACACTTTCGATCTCAGGCTGTGCTCCGTGGTCATATATGGGTCGATGTGGCCGGCAGCCATAGGCGCCTTTACGTGCCAGCGGCCCGACCACGTTGTAGCGGTGTCCTTCGCAATTCAGCATACCAGCTGCGAGTAAGGATGATTAGCCTCCCAAATTATTATTATTATTATTATATCATAGACATATAATAAAACCTAGACACGACATTGTCTGCTTTTACGTTGTGAATTCTGTGAGCAAAATAGGCTGCGTCACGCGGCCTGGTGCGATGCATGAATTATCATGTGGCTTTGATTTACGCGCAAACGGATTCCAAATAACACACGCAGTGAAACCGCTCTCGTCATGGGCGTCGGTGCGACGCGACGCGTCAAGCCAATAATGAGCATTCGCGTAATTAACATTATTCTATACGCGTAGCATTTTGCTCACAGGCGCAATAGCAAATGTCGTGTCTAGGTTTTATTATATGTCTATGGTTTATATGTCTGTGGTTGTACCACAGACGTACATTCAAACAAATGCTGTGGGTTGTACGCAGGCTAGGCAAGGCAGCGTAAACGAGTGGCACAGGGCCTGATCTTGCACAGGAAATTTATCTTTTTGCGTTGCCAAAACACCTTGGCGATTTGTTTTATCCAGTTCACCAGGCGTTAAAGGGAATATACAACATTTGCAAACATCAAAAAACAAAACTACCAATTTTTTTACGAAATACCTTACTAGGATGTTGGTAAATGACAGTCTAAAGCATCCTGTAAAATTATGGCACCATGTGTGAAGTCATTTTCAAGAAAAGTGGTATTTTGTAAAAAAAAAATCCAACGGTGGTCGGCCGACCACCGTTGGAAAAACCTAACTATTTTTCAACTACTGCTCCAAATTTATCAGTTTTTTTCAGTC